GGTGCCGAGTACTGTGACCTGCTCCAACAATGCACTTAAGCACGTATTTAACTCTTTGAAAACTATGGTACTAGTCATGTGCTTAACCACTTTGCTAGATTGGAGCAAGAATGCTCAGTTCCATGCAGGATCGAGCCCCATGTTGTGGAATAAGGGCTGCATGTTTCAGTTTGATAAGCCATGCAGTGTGATTCCAAATATACTTTGTATTTCAAATGGTGAAATCCAGTACCTTTCAGTGCATGTTTCAGGGGGGTGTTCTCCCCAGGATTATGCATAACTCCCATTTATATTAATAGTAGTGCCCTTCAATAAAATATATGGTACAGTAGCTGTTCAGAACATTGCAACAGCAGTGTTACTACAGATCCGGATTGTGCCTGGTCATTACATGGTGTGCAGGGGCGAGCGTGCAGAGAGCCTTTCACCCACCATCTTAAGGCCTGTCTCAGTCACAGACCTTGCTCCCTAGGGGCACATATCACAGCAAAGGAGGAGGGGAGAGGCAAGGAGGAGGTGGGGCCATAGCTTCACCCAATTGGAACCCTGAGATGCAGTCCACCCCAGGGCTCTCGATGGGGTGAAGCGGCTTCATATCACCCACAATGTAGGATCGTGTATATTGGCAATAATCTACCCCTAATGCATTTGGGCCTCGCCCACTCAACATTGCAGTATTCTTCGGATAAAATAATGGAGGGTATATTTTGTACTGAATATTAATTTCTGTGGTCCTGTGGCTTCCCTTGCCTTTTGTCTTGTTTGTTAGATTGTAGAGTTGTTGGGGCAGAGAACATGTCTTCTCTGTTTGCAAAATGGAGGGCAGCGATATGAACTGGGGAGAGACTAGAGCGTGGCACAGTTATGTTTAACTATGAAGTAGATTGTTTAAAAATAAATACATAAAATTAACAACAGTTCTAGCGCGTGCCTGCGTGCACACAGATATAAGGTCTGGTGGTGCAGAGATCTCCTAGGCAGCCAGCATCAACTCACTCTCTCTCTCTCTATATATAAAATATGAGATTATTCAGCTACACCACTGTGGACTTCCTCCATCATGTAGTGTAAACAAAAGGAGCATTTACTAATACAGTTTTGCCGACCACAAGGGCTCAAAAATCATGAGTCAGGCCCCCAAACATCCCGAGAGTTTCAGAAATAGCACATCTGGTGTACGTTGTATTTGCCTTCTTGTGTTGAGCCTTCAAGATTTACGTTTTCAAGTTTTTCTCTGCAACCATAAGGGCTGGAAACACCCTTTAAAAAAAAAAAGTGGAGACTCCCATGCGGTCACCTGGCTGCAGGATTTGGGAGTTTACGAAGAGCACCAGATTTCACTGGGGGAGTTGGCAATGCTGCCGGGAGGAAGGATGCTCTTATGGTTAGGAAACTGTTCTGAGACTCAGAAGGCGTGGGGGTGGGGAGTGGAAAGGGGTTGGGGTGGGGGGGTACTTGTGGCTCTGCACAAACTTCCTGTAACCATGGGAAAGTTACAGTCTCCCTGTGCCTCAGCTTACAGGGCTGTGGTGAGGACAGATTTGTTAGGGCCAGATGGTTCCTGCTCTTGATGCACTTGGGTGAGGGAGTCTCGCTTTCCTTCCTCCCTTCCCTGGAGCTCCCCATAGGGTGGGGTGGCCCCAAACCACTCCCATACTGGGGATCCTCAGGGCACAGTCTGGCCCTTAACATGTGGGAGGCCTGGGGTACTGTGGTGATAGATGCTAGAGAGATGGCTAACCATAAACAGCATTGTCTCTGAAGCTATTTAATCCAGGCCTCAATCCTGCAGAACCTTAATGCACATGCCTATGTTACTACCATGAGTGGTGCCATTGATTTCAGTGGGACTATTCACAGCAGTAAAGTTAAGCACGTGCCTAAGTGTCTGCAGGATAGGGACCAAAGTGATCATTTAAAGAACAACAGAAAATGCATTTAAAAATTGCACCATCCACAATAACAGGCCCGCACCAGTCTTCCGTCAAAGCCCAAATAGGTAGTGGTCCCAGCTGTGCTCTTCCTTTTTTTATCCCTTGCATATTCTCTGTCCAAAAAGCCTCAAAATACAAGAGGAAAATATTTAAAATAATACAGTTTTGTATCAGTACATTTATCCTACTGCTCAGACCATCAATAACTTGCTTGCCCCTTTCAGGTTAAATACATAGGGAATAATAAATTTGTTAGTCTCTAAGGTGCCACAAGTACTCCTGTTCTTTTTGCGGATACAGACTAACACGGCTGCTACTCTGAAACCTACATAGGGAATAATTATCTAGTTGGGCTTTCTTCCATTAGAAGACTCTTGGAAACAAGTTTTTGATATGCAGTCATCAATCCCTTCCTGTGAAATGTGCTATATTATAAGGGCAATGCCAAGCCAGTAGAGATCTATGTTTTTAATTTCAGCTTTCTTTAAACTTCTTTTAGGAGTTTCTTTAAAGCCTTTTCACTTATTGGAGAAACTCAGGAAAGAGAGAGAGTATTAATCCACTTCTCCAACAGATACTATCAGTGTAACCCGAACACCGTTTCTACTCAAGGTAATTTTGCTTCTGATTTCTAGGTCATGGGCATTCCTCTTTGTTCTTTCACGTTTGGCTATAGCCTGTATGTTTCCTGCTAGAAATATTCTCCTGCCTGAGGCAAAACAAGTATATGCATGAAAATGGACTGTTTATGGAAGGTGAGAGATTGACAACAGTGAGAATGGTAGTCCTCTAATTTATCCTTGCCAGAAGAATGGTATGGACAGAGGCAGGGCAACCTTATTCATATTGGCCTCCGTTCAGCACGGTATTTAAACATGCCTAAGTACTTGAGTAGTTCCTCAGCATGGCTGCGTAAATGCTTAAAATTGGGCATGTGCTCCCTGGCCTCATTGCATGTAGGCCAGCTAACATCAATTAGTAGGCAACTTCCTCTTCAGCGCACTCAGTCATTTTTAAAATTTGGAAAGGAAAAAACAAAACCAAGAAAGAAAACATTCCCGAATAAGAGAACAAACTGTCTGCTGACATAACTCCATTGAATTCGATAGTTATACCAACAGAGAATTTGACCTAAAAATTCCAACTACTTCAGATGATGCATAAGTCTAAAATAAAGAAAGAAAGAAAGAGGAAAAATGTATTTCAGGCCCCGCTTAATCCCAGCTACCTAGATGATTTTAGCTACTAATACATTAAAATTGGGGTAGAAGAAGATGAATAACCAACTGTGCACATCACAGATGAAATAAGACATTGTTTGGAGTCAGAGTCAAGAATTGGGTATAGAGAGGATTAGAATTAAATCTACTGTAGCTGACTCCATACTAAATTGATATGTTCCTCCATGACACTCTTGGGAAGTGAATTGTTGAATGTAAAATAAATGTTTAGCTTCACCCAGATCCGAGGGGTTGATTGTGTCTTTTGGCTCAGCCCTCTACGGGGAAGTGTGGTTAGCTGCTGCATCCCAGGGGGGTCCACCGAAGGATGCTTGATGCCTGTACCGGAACACCACAAATCGAAACCCTGGGTGAATGGGAGTTACCATTGCTGGTGATGGTAGCTGCTGTTGTTTTATTTAATACTACTGTAGTACCCAGATACACCACTCTGGATTGTACTCTGCAGTACAAACACCTAAGGAAAAATGGTTCCTGCCTCAAAGAACTTACTCTCTTAAGGTGTGTCTACACAGCAGGATTCTTTCAGCTACGGGTAGTGTACGTACATGCATAACCCCCCAGCATGGGTATAAACAGCAGTGTAGACGTGATGCACGGATTAAGCCGGTAGGGTGAAGGCGCACAAGAAGGGTGTGGTGGTGTACTGAGTACGTATCCTACACGATCTATATTGGCCCAAGCCATGACTTCCTATCTACACTGCTGTTTTTAGCAGTGTAGATCCTGCTGCCTCCCGCTGCTGGAGCCTTTCCTTGCTGCAGTGAAAGGCTCTGGCAGTGGGGAGCAGCTGAACCCTTTCCGGATCACCTCCCCTCTGCCAGAGCCTTTTACGGACACCCGTAGCTACCCACATCAGTGTGGACACAGCCTGCTTCCCATTGGGGTACGTAACTACAGGTACACTACCCCCCACTGAAAGACATAGACATAGCCTTAGGGCCTGATCCCGCAACGAGCCTAGCACATACCTAGTCCCACTGGCTTCAAGATTCGATCACATCTTATTTATTTCTGTTCAGTACACAGGATGGACAGTGCGTACGGCCCAATGCCTTACTCACTGCACATCATCCAGAGCGCCCACTGAATAGGAAATAGTTCATTTCCTCACTGGTTTTTTTTTTTATGGTGCTCATCAGTGTAATAGTTGAATGCTTCATAGAGAGGGATGAATGTGTCTTCACCCATCCCCGGTGAGG